GAAGGAATAATGCTTTTTCCGGGTTCACCTGAAAAGTAGAGAGGAAAGTCTTGGAGCTTAGAATATTTTGGTTTGGTTTCATGGCAGTTCTTTGCCTTTCCTCCTTTTTTTCTTTCATTTTTGCCTTAGAAGTTAAAGTCAGCGTGTGGATGGTGAATTGATCAAAATTGTTATTTAAGAACCATTAAATTGTGGTGGTAGACTAAGTGGTTGAGTGTTTTTAAGCAAAATAGAAAGAAAAAATCCAGATGCTGTTCAACCGTTCTGTTAGTGTGTTTTCAGGCTATGAGCCCTTGCTGTTTGATTGTCATCCTGCCACTGCATGCAGTTATGCTTTTATTCATAACTAATTAAAGAAGTGAGTTCTGTAGCTAGATTTTGGCTAAAACCTGTAGTAAAAAAACCCCACAAAATAACCCCAATAAACCAACAAGTAAATACATATTTGCTGTCCTTGATTTCTGTGTGTTTTTGTCTTGCTGGTCTGATCTTTACTCTTTAAGGTACTTAGTTAAGCTGGTCGACTGAGCTCAAATATAATGCATTAAATAATTTTTTTCTTAGTGTTCAGTATTTTCCTGAGGAGGTTTTAGTTTAAACACAGCATGTTATAGATGTGCTGAAGTCAAGCAAGTCTATACCTTTTTTCTTAACACCTGATGTATTATGCCTACTTAATAAAAATTATCCCCATTTAGCCTATTTCCGTAGACAACAGTGTTCTATGGTTTGTATAATGGAGAACTTTCTGTAAAGCATTGGATGCTCTTAGGAACAGTGTTTTTCTTAAATGCTAAGTACCAAACTCCTCTCTCCCTTTCTTTCTTTAAAGGCATCACTGCTCCGGAGGTTTCAGAGTACTCTAGTCATAGCAGAACACAACAATGAGACTCTTACACCCATCACACTAAACACTATCACTGCAGCAAAACGTCTTGGAGGTGAAGTTTCTTGTTTAGTAGCTGGTACCAGTTGTGACAAGGTAGGAAATGCTATTTTCACATGGATTGAATAATGAAAGTAGTCAGACAATACTTGGTAGCATTTTGGTCAGCCTGAAAAATAATCTGTAGTGAAGAGGAACTGTGCCAGGAATTGCTAATCTGCCAGAAGTGTGCTGCACTTGAACTGCTTCTCTTCTGAAGTGAAAATATGGGTATAGATTTCATTTCACAAGGCAGAATATCAGTATCAGTTGCTAAAAGCTTAAGCAAGCAAATTTTTATGGGACTAAAGGCCAATTAACTTGAAAAACAATATTTCCCTGTAAAATCTGAAACTCAAATATTGCAGTGTGAACAACTTGGAAAGAAGCTTATACTGTTCAAATGGAAACCAGCAGAAATGAAACAGCACAGTGACAAAGAGGGCTTCTGAGCATCTTGCTTTTACTGGTCAACTACTAGTATTATAGCAAGAGTGCATTTGTAGCCTGCAGTTCTGAAATTGGTGCTGCTTGACTTTATAATTTAGCACATGTCTAAAATGTTTCTTCTGTGTTATCTGTTGTATTGTTAGGCTTATTCTTATGAGCAAAATCTAGAGACAATGTGGTTAGTACATTAGTGACACTCTTATTCCTGTATGATGTAATCTTGTGTGAACAGTAAAAGTACAAATAATTATGCCTAGTATTTTTCATACTAGGCTATTGTTTATGAATTTATTCTGAAAGCAATATGTAGTATGTCATGCAGGAGGCATACTTACGTCAGATAATTCACAAATAGGTGGAAAAACCTCCCTGGCTATTGAAGCCTGGTTGTAACTGAGACCCAGGTGTTAAAGGTGGAGACCTGGAGGCAAATATTTGTCTAGATCATGGAAATGGAAAAAATCAATTGCCTGATGTGTCTATATTTGAATTTCCTTATGCTTTGGCACTTTCATAATAGAAAAATGATTGTGAATGTTCTTTTTGTTTTGTAATACTACATATGTGATGTCTGTTTAGCAATGTGTGTCATGCTGGGAAAAAGTACTTTACAGAAATGAAGGTTTGGGGTTTTTTTTAAGCTTCTTTCTAAGAATCTATATTGATAGGACAAAAGAGCCAGTTACTGAAACAGATATTCTGTAGCAGTTGTTATAGAGTTTTTGTTTATTTCTTTCTGTTAATTTTTGAGGGTAAACTGATACTTGGCAAACTTGGTAAAACTAGGCTAGTTCTGGGATGGGGCATGTGGTCTCCAGACACTGCTGTCAGTCCTCTTCTCTCTGATCTGCAACAACCCTTTTATCATTTAAACGTCACTTCTGCAAATTTAAAGCAAAAAAATGCATAAATATAGAATTGAAAATATGCATCACATCAGTAGGCAAAAGTCAGCTGAAAACAAAGGATTGCTCCTAAAATTTGGACAAAGATCATAACATCACTGTACATTTGTATTTGCATTGTATGCTTGTGTGGTAGATATTGACCAATTTAAACAAAAGTAGGATTGGTTTCTTGATCAGAATACTGAGCAATAATCCTCAAGTATGAATGTTAGCGGCTGTTGTAATAAATCATAAGACCATTGTGTAATCCTGCATACAGGAGGCAAGATTTCCTATGTTTGATTTGCTTTGTAGTTTTCTTATTCACAAAACTTATCTTCATTATCCCATAAGGCGCTATGCTGTGAGTCAGAAGATGGGCATTTTGTTCTGTCGGGTTCATTCTGATTTCAAAATTAACACACTTTTGTGTTCCAGTTTTAACTAATCTATAGGCTGCGAGCTCTTTGAAGCAGGGGCACTCTCTTATTTGTTAATGGTGCCTACCACCATGGGGCTCTAGGTTCAGTCGGAGCCTCTGTGTGCTGTTATAATACAAACTAATGATAATTCATTTGTAATCATAGGTAGCACAAGAAGTCAGCAAAGTGCAGGGTGTTGCAAAAGTTCTAGTGGCTCAGCACGATGTATACAAGGGATTTCTAGCAGGTGAGAGTTGTTCTTACCTATTGACAAAATAAATGGTATTTATATTTGTGATTGAAAATAAGATAGCTGTAAATTTTGAGCAATATATTTTTATCCTCAGAGGAGCTGACTCCCTTGATTTTGGAAGCTCATAAAAAATTCAATTACACTCACATTTGTGCTGGAGCATCTGCCTTCGGGAAGGTAAGTAGATCGAAGTGCATCGAGAATTTCTTGTAGAAAAGAGGCAGAGATACTACGGTATGCAAGGGTGTGAATCAAATGCCTGAGAGAGGTCAGCCAGTTTTTCATTTAAAAAAATGTTACAGTAGTTTGCTTAAGAAGTCATTATTTAGAAGCACCGATTCATATCTGAGTTTTATTATGGGCTGGCTTGGACAAAGGAGCAGTGTAGAAGAAATACTTAGTGGTAACCAGCTAGATCTATGTACACAAGGCAAGATGTACACTAACACAAAAGAGATTAAGTGATCTGAAAGCATTATGAAAATTGTAAGGAATTGTTGAAATTAGAGTGTGCAGACCTATTGGAAGCAAATTTTTTTGGATGGGAGGAATTGCACCTATGATGTAAGTCATGTAAATTGAAATGTCTTTAAATATATATTTAAATAACAGAGATTTAAGTCCTCAAGATGTTTTTTAAGGAAAATACAATTTTTCAGAACGTTTTTTAAGGAGTGTGTTTTTAAGTATGTGGAGAGCCTCGGTACTAACAATCTGGTCAACGTTGTGGTGCCGCTAAATTAGAGAAAAGGGATACTTCAGAAATCTTGCCCATGTGGGATGAATGATGACATCAGCCTTCCATCGGACTACTTTCACTTCCAATCAGTATCAATCTGTATACTGGCAATTTTGCTGAAATAAATCTTTGCATACCTTAAGTCTTAGGGGTTTTTATTTTATTTTTCTTTTTATTTTTGATCTGCTGTGTCTTAGTAGAGTCTAATATCTTTTGCTTTAAAGTTTATGCTTCTGTATTTCAATGCTTAATGTGAGTAAAAGTTTCAGAACTCGGCCCTTTGTTGTATCAGATTGGGGGGCGGACAAAAAGCAAGCAGAACTCTTGCTATCATTAATTTTTTCATGATTTATTTGCTCTAACCCATCACAAATCTTCCTCCCCGTTCTTAAAGGTGCTAGGTAATTTTCTAGAGTCAATTTCAGAGCAGCAGAAGATATATTTTAATATTATTTTTTAGAATAATTTTGTTGCTTTTGTGAGGAGAGTGCAGGGGTTTTTTTGCTGTAAACTCTGGTAACTAGCTTCCAAAAATGTTTTTGTTTTTTTCTTGAAGTGCTAAGAGCTCAGCAATCCATAATTGTAAAATTTCTTAGTAAATTGCATCTATATTCAGTTTTAAACTGTTGAAGCAAATAAGCCTCCTAATTTAAACTATTGAATTAAGGGCTTACTTACTGTAAGTCTCATAAAATTTCGACTGTTATTACAATAATGGTATTCTATTTAGCTACTAAAGCTACATTAGTAGTCCTAAAAAAATCTTAGAGTTGTATGTGCCTTTTTACTTACAGACAGCATTACATAAAGTTAAAATTGGGACATCAGGCATTCTTTTACTGACCATGTGCATTTTACTTAGCATTTACTTTGCTAACTTTTTGTCTTTAACTTCTAGAATCTTATTCCCAGAGTGGCTGGTAAACTTGATGTTGCCCCTGTTTCTGACATTATTGAAATTCAGTCCCCAGACACTTTTGTGAGAACTATCTATGCAGGTGAGTAATCACAAAAGGTATGTGGTATTTGTGCGATAAAGGACCCAATGCTGATAACTTGTATACATAATCCTGTTGTTAGAACCTTGGAATATGACAGGAATATTCACTTTACAACCTGAATTGCTGTAGTTCGTGAAAATGAAATGTGGGGATGGACATGATGCTCCATGTGTGAGAAAGCAAGTAATCCCAACAATTTTGATACTATGAGTTAGAAACCAGGTCTGTCATTTCAATTAATAGAATTTGGTAATCTTTATGCATACTGCATTTCTTTGTTAATGTACTTGTGATCAGATTTTGTAAAACGTAAGACATTAATTGTCCAGCTTTATTTAATATGACTAGCATTAGTTCTGATTTAAGATGCCAGGGGTTATTTTTTCTAGTTATGAAGACATTGAACTAATTTATAATATTTAATTGACTTAATTTACAATTCTTTTTTTCAATCTTGTTTCTCTAATGCTTGTTTGACCCTGTTTTTTAATTTAGATATGAGCTCATTAGGAGGTGTGGCAACCCCCATGGTGCCAGGGGGCTAACAACTCCGGCAGGCTAACAACGTGGAATTACATTTCGAGTTACGTTACCAGAATGTGGTTTTTGTGTTGCACTTTGAAGTTGCTTCCCAGTAATTCACAGTTTCAAGATGATTTTTTTTATGAATAGATGGTGGTGCAGCATTTTTGGCTTTTAGTGTTCTCTGCAGCCTCCAGGATAAAGTAAATACCTTATATTGTATATCACTGAGAAGAAACACAATCCCACAGATACTTGGAGCAGGCCTCATTGTCCTCCGTTCTGATAAGGTCGTGCAACAGGAAAAATGATGCTTTAAGAAAAGAGGATTTGTTGTCATAACATGGAACTAAAAAGTAAATTAAAATACTTGTAATCTACATTTATTAAGTGCCTAGCTTTCAAGTTTTGGTCATCTAAAACTGCAGTTATGGGAAGTAACTTTCTGAACGTTGCCTATTCTAGTAGAACTGCTAATGTGCTTCTGATATTAATTTTATTTGTTTTTAAAATCATAGTATGTCTGATATTATCTTCAGTAAAAATACAACGTGGCCTCTCTTTTTAGGAAATATTCTTTGCACTGTGCAATGTGATGAAGCAATTAAAGTATTTACTGTACGGGGAACTTCTTTTGAGGCTGCACCAACAAGTGGTGGTAGTGCCGCTTTAGAAAATTGTGAGTATTTGTTCTGTTATTTTGTCGTTTCATGTAATAGTGTTGTTAGTTCTGCTCACTACACAGTGATGTTTTGCAAAAGTATTTGTGAAAGCAAACTGATTGTCACAGTCTTAGCTTTATTCTTTTAATATGTGTGCTTGCTCTTTTAGTGATGCCTGGTAAGGGAAAATATGGATTATCTGCTCAGTTACTACTTTCTCTTCAACCAGAAATGGAGATTATCTGTGCCTGTTTCACTTGCTGCTTAAACTTCTGCCACTGCAATATTGAAACTTTTCCTTGTTTAAAGTTACAGCTGTTTGAATAACAAGTTTGGTTTTCAAAGCAACATTTGGCAAAAATAGGAGTGGCTGGCTATCCAGAGTTTTGGTTTTAATTGGTCATATTTCAATTGAAATAGGTTATTACAGTGTTATTAGCTAACTTAGTAGCAGTTTAAATTGGTTTGAGAACACCAAATCATTTTTTATATAAGTTTTAACTAAATTAGTTTAAATTATTATTTTAATGAAGCCAGTGTAGCTTTGACAATAGAGAAACCCAGTCACAGAATCACGGAGTAGTGGAGGTTGGAAGGGACTTCTTGAGATCTAGATGACTGTGTCCAGTCAGGCTTTGAGTATCTCCGCAGATGGAGACTTCACAATTGCTCTTGGGCAACGTGTTCTGGTGTTTGATCTCTTCCGCTGTTTTTCTCTGTGGGCCTTTTTATGACTGTGCTGTAAATCCAGCAGAGGCAATCATTAATAATGTGATCTGTGTGTTTGTGTGTGTCCCAGTCCTCATATTTTCCTGGGTGGCTTGGTACCTGCCTCTGAACTGTCATGTATTTCCTAACATCTATGGGTGCTGGGGAACAAATACTACTTGATACTTAAGATTAGCATATTGCACAGTCATTGTGCTACTTAGTTGGCTTGTTTGCCTTTCCTAATAAGAACCACACTTATGCTGGGTTGTTATCAATATATTACTTATACAACAGACGTTCCTTTTAGTGCAGCTTGTGCTATAGGTTATTTAAACACAACTAATGAAGAGGGACTTGTAACTCGGAGCCATAGAGCAATTACTGATAATTAAAAGCTTGTGGTAGAGTTGTTTATATAATGACCTTTTGCATTAAGTTTAAGCTCAAATTTAAAAGGTTGAAAATACATGCTTTATCCTTTTTCTTATGGATGTTTTTCTTCATCTGATGAATGCAGTAACCCCTCCACCGCCTGTTGGTCTATCTGAATGGATTGAGCAGAAGTTGACAAAAAGCGATCGACCAGAGCTTACTAGTGCCAAAGTGGTTGTATCGGGTGGTAAGTAGATAATATTGAAACTATGTCATTTTACATTTAAGTAATGGTACATCTTGATTAAATAATGAAATAATACCTGTAGCAGAACACTATAATGTGATACATTAAAAAAAATATGATGGTGCAATTCTGAAATATGGCACAGGGGCCAGTGGGAATGCAGCCAACATGTATTTTTTGTGAGGAGGCAAAACACAGGTTTAATATATGCTAGTAGGCTTTTTAAGAACATTGTCATATTTGGTGACTCCCTTTAGAATTATAGCAGTATGAACTGTTTTTAGATCCAAATCTGTCATGTCTAAAATGATTTCTAATCATTAGAGGCAGTCTAAACATTATTATGTAAAGGCTTTAATGATTTTTAAAATGATTATTTGTGTTCTGCTCTTCAGGTATAAAGTGTTGGACTGTGATTTTTACTGTGTACCTACAGCTAAAAAATTATTCCTTACTCAAATACTAGGGCCTGAGCAGTGAGGCCCTAAACCAAAGTTGGCCTAGATGAACCTCACAACCTAACAATATATCTAATCTGTATAATATTGGTGACATATGCAATGTATTACCTTATGAATATATGCCAATTTATAAAAGCTTTGTTGTAACACTTATAGAGCTTTGCTGTAATGCTTACTGTATAAGGTTAGTCAGCAGAAAGATGTTAATTGTGTAACAGTAGCCACACTTAAAAAATGGATATGCCTGTTGTAACAGACAGACTGCTAGATAAAAGAATGTGGCAGGGTTGGTCATGACAGGCTTTGTTGAGAGATGATACGTAATCAAAATTACCAGAGGCCTTTACTCTTGTTATCTTTCTTCTCCTGTTTCGGCCAAACTTGAGACTAAAGTTAACAAGGAAAAAAACTACACCGGATGTTTTTTGCAGTTTAAGATAAAAAGTTGTTTATTCAACTGTATAAAAGCGGGGAACGTTTGCAGGGAAATTTGGAAGCCTCATCTATATAGTGGACACACTGTATAGGAATTTCCCAGTTGCGGGAAAGGTTCTCCAAATCCTTGCCCCAACTGGGCTCCCCAGCAACTGCGGATCTGGATGATGGTAACGTAAGATGCGGGCAATTGATGATGTATCCTTCTTAAACACTAACGCAAACTCTATGTAGTAATGATTAGGTGCATTACCTTATTTTATGCTTGTTATAGTAGTTTGCTTATTATTTTGCTGCTTTACCTTATCTTGCTTTAATTTATTTTCACTGCATTATTTTCCTCATTATTTTACCACTTTAAATATAATAAGCTAACTTTTTTTGATTTGGTGCCTGTGTCCTTTGTGCTAACCCCGTCGATTGGCAAAACACTTATTCCACTACAGAATTTTGTACCTAAAGCCAGCAGAGGGAGCACAAATTAGTAAAAAAAACCCTGTTTCCCTGATTTCAGAGAATGATCTTGATGGTGCTGTAGGCAGGAAGTAAACTAAAGAGAGTGGTGTTGGTTTATATATATGAAATAATATTAATCACAGAGACAAAAGCTAAATCTCCAAATACTAAGTAGGATTTAGTATTATATCCAAAAATACCCTATGCAAGCGTATATTTGTGCCTATGCAAATGCAGAAGTTTATGTAGGCAATAAAACATCTTGCAAAAGTTTGTTATGTAGGTCATAAAAAAAGCCCTTGCAGCCTATTGTGTTCTTCTTTCTTCTTTTGTCCTTATCTTTTAAGGGAGAGGCTTGAAGAGCGGGGAAAATTTTAAATTGTTATACGATCTTGCGGATCAATTGCATGCTGCAGGTAAACTTGTTTTCCTTTTTTTTTTTAACCCTTGTTATTATATTTGAAAAGGTCACATTAAAAACAATGTTGATCCTAAGCCTTTTATTTTCATGTCCCTGTCAAATAAATTCTTAAAATCTTGTTGGTTTAGTTGTAGATAAGTTTTTTTTCTTTGTCCTTGTGGTCAGCTGTGCATTTAAATGCCTATGTATGAAGCAAAATACTGAACTGTAATATTCACTGTCCTCCTCAAATCTCCAGAACACAGGCTCCCAAACAAAAAGTGAAGTTGTATAAATTAAAAAATGGTTGTAGCTCATTTTGAAGATCTGATATTTTCTTTGTACTTCCTTATATACTACTCCTTTACAGAATTGCTTTTCCAGGATCTTGTGGTTTGAGTGGCTCTTTTTGCTATGCTTTTGCATTAACAGGAGAAAACAGACCATGAGCGGTGTTTCAGACAAATATTTTAAGTAAAGGTTGGGGGAGGAGGAGGAACTGTTTGCATTAACATTTTAACTACCTTAGTTTTAGATTTTGCATGTAATAATAAATTAATAGTTTTATGTGAATGGCTTCACTAAGTGTCCATGTGGCATTTTTAAGTTTACTTTTGACATTTTTCTTTACTGTGCCTGACTCTTGAGCTCCACAGCAATGTAAGATGGCACGTGTGTTCTTTTCAAACATGGAGGAACATTGTGGGAAGACATGTATGGGAAAATCCTCTTTTGACAAAGTAATGAGAGAAAATAATGGAAATATGCCAGACTGAAATCCTTGGTTTTAAATATATGTCCCTCTGGTGCTGGGAGTAAGGATTTCCTGTTGCTTATGAAGTGCATTAGCACTTAGTATTTGGAAGTTTCAGCCAGTGGTGTAGAGAGGGATTACCATAAGAGCTCTTAAGAGGGAAGTTTCTAAATACGTGCCCTTAGAGTGTGAGACTCTTCAGTAAAATACGTGTGCTTTTATGGTGATATAAATTTGGCTTGCTAGTATTTTAAAAGAAAACAATGGAAATATTTTCTTTCAACTAGTTGGAGCTTCCCGTGCAGCTGTTGATGCTGGCTTTGTTCCTAATGACTTGCAAGTTGGACAGACTGGCAAAATAGTTGCACCAGTAAGTATGGAAATATCTTTCATAAAAGAGCTGTGATGTTTTCTAGCATGGATTTTCCTTCAAAGCAAATGTTTAGGAATAAGCTAAGTTTTGGTACTGAGCCTAACTAAGAAAATCTTTGCGTGCCCATTGTGATACTGTCACTTGACTATGCCCTTGCAAAACTACAGCAGCAAGCTGTGGTGTAAATTTCTACTTGGGGTCAATCAGAAGTGTTCTGCAGACAGCTCTGTCAGAGGTTTTTGCATGCTGGATTTTTTCATAGTTGCCTGTGCTGAACCTGTTTTACTTTTCTAACAGCCATCATTGATAAGACATGTTGCCAACATAAACTTGAAATTATATTGATATGTCCTTGATGTCTGGGAAGTGGCTTATTTTGGGTTTTTTTTACAGGTGATGATTTTTTTAAAGTTTTGGTAACTGTAACTGGATTATTGCATTACGTTCTAAGAACAATGTCTGTAAGAGGTGAAAGTGCAAGAAATTTAAGAGATAAATAATCCACAGGTTGGCTGCTGTAGAGTGAAATACCAAGCAGGGCTTACTTTTATGAGTGGCTTAATGTTGGGAAGTAGCCTGCTGCACATCTTTTCTGCTACACATCCTGAGATCATAGGGGACTGATTTTTATCCTTGTGTCTTTTTGGATCTATGGGGGTACTTTCTGTCATACAGAAGTCTGAGACTACTTTCATTGTTCAATATGACCTGGGGAAATGCAGGGAAAGTGGTAGACAGATAAAGCACATGTGAGCATTTGTAAATAAGAAGTTACAAATGTAGGTCATCTCATTGTGGGGTAGAATGTGTGGTAGCACGTACTGACATGCAATGATCATGGACATGAGTAGGCAGTTGTGACTAAGAACATAGGCAGGTATGGAAATTTGTCAGATGTACGCTTTGAGCTACATAACCAAGTAATCATTTAGCCTTTCAGTAAGCAGTTCTCTTTGAGTGTGTTTGAAAACAGAAGGCACCAAAGAACAACTTTTTACTTGTTAATGGTTTAATGAGACCAGAAAGGGAGAGTGAGCTGGAACATAGCAAGAAACTTGTATTTCAACTGCTGCATTTACCAAATCATAATAACTTAAATAATACTAAAAAGCTGTGAGTGTCCAGTGCCTTGATAGGATCTGAAGTGTTTTGCCTTTGTACCATTAAGACCTGTAAATTCAAGAACTTAAAACCATGACCGTTATTTTTCCAGTAATACATCCAGCAGGATAGAGCAATACTTGAAGAGACCGGACAGGAACTTAGGATTTCTGGAGTCTGTTGTCAGTTCTGCCTCTTGCATTTTCTTGAAGAAGATACTTTGGGCTTCTGAGTTGGTCTGTCCTGAAATGTGGATAGGGTTGTTTGCTGTTTTTTTTTCTTTTTTTCTTTTCTTTCTTAAAGTCCTCATGAAAGGCCTTCTGATGATAGCCCAGTAGGGCTAAGTGGAGCTATTTCTAGGCACACAAATGTTTAACCTGTAAATCTGTATGATAACCAACTGCTACAAAAAACAGCTTCTGAAAAATAGACCTATTGATAAAAATTAAGGTCCATCTGATTGCATATTGTGTCCTTCCAAAATCTTGGTAGCAGTGGTATTAACCTCTACTATGCAAGGAAATTATGAGGCTTTGCAGATTATAAATGCAACCCTAATTCTTCTTGGTGATGTCTTTCTTTTGTGCATAGTATGTAATTGTTACTGTTTTGGACATAGTGCAGGGCAGCTGTAGCCCCCAGTTGTAACACTTCCTCTTTGCTAAGGGAACATTTGTATTTAAATATAATGCACCTTCTAAGGTCCAAAGTTTTGCAGCTATAGGTCTCAGCAAACTAATCAACACTAATTCAGTAAGTGCAACTGCAACATCTATGGAAACTGTAGGTTCCAAAGAAGGCAGAGTTGGTTGTCATAGGGAGGCAGTCTTTAGTTGGCTGCTGTGTTCTCAAACCTTTGAAAACCAAGGAGTAAGCTGTATTTAACTACATATTTTGAAAGGGCATGAGATGAGACTGACCATCCTTTGTTCTTCGCTACCCAAATATCCACTAACAAAGTGGAAAATGCTAATTTGAAGAGAGCTCAGTCTGGTTTGTGTGCCTTGAGGCTCAGCAGTGAACATTCTTTCCAGAGTCAAGGGCATATAAACAATTATGTTGAAACAAAAAGGGATGGTGTTTGATGAAGACATAGTGCTATAACTTGCCACAGACGGCTCATAGCAGCATGTGAAAGTCGTAAGAACATACGGCTATATCGTAGGATCATGTCAACGTCATCATTGTCATCTGCTAGAGGATTGTGAAAATAGTCGTTAGTCAGTCAGGACTGACTATAATGAATGTTAAACTGTTGTGTCAGTAAACAGTCCTAACTGGCACAATGGGTGGTGCTATGTCTTTTTGTCAGCAGGTTGATGCACTTCTCTCTTACCTCCCTTTACAAGTATTTATTGAGTAGTGAGTTATGCAGGGTACTGAAAAGTCTTTCAAATTCAAATATTTCTTCTGGATCTTAAAATACATGCAATGACAGCATACAGTGGCTTAGAACTATAGAAAATATTTTATGTTAATTGTAATGAAAGTGCAAATTGAATTGATACTAAGCCCTCAGAGTTGCTGACTAGAGGAATTAATTTTTCCATGTGCTGGATAGTATCTTAAATGTGAGGCCGTTTAAAGCTGCAAATTCTTAGCTTCATATTCCTAATTCTATTTCACTGTCTTTTTGGCACTTCAGCTAGAAAATTACTCTCTGCAGTGGAAGATAGAATTCACTTAAAGAGGAAGTGAACTGAACTTCCTTGATCGGATCAAGTTTAAACTGGCTATTTTGACAGTCCTCTAGAAAATGACTGCTTTCATCAGGTATGCTTGAGACCTCATGGTGTTTTATCTGGAAAATTGCAAAGCAGCTTTGTACATCAGTTACATTAGCAAGACCTGAGTTCTGTGTTTAGTTTTGAACTCCAGTTGACACAGTGCATGCCCTCCTGGGGGTGTGGGTTTTAAGCAGAGGGAGTATCTCAGATACGAGAAACTGCTGGAGTTAGAGACATACTTGCTCTCCTGTGCAGCTGGTAGTTTCTGGTGGGAAAGTGTCTTGGCGTATGCTCTTACTCTTCTATTAATAGTCTCTAGCCCAGTCTCAGTGGAGGATTGGAATGCATTGTTTTTAAAGGACTCTGGAATTGGGTCATTTTTGAGATTACAGAGGGAGAAGAGTTAGTTACAAGCTCAGGAAGAGGGGAGGTGCTTCTGTTGCTGATTTCTGTGTATGAATGATGGGGAGTGTTTCTGTGCTGATTGTCAGGTAAGAAGGTAGTAATCCAAAAGATCTGCGTATTTCTTCCCTTGTGCCTTTGATTGTGGATTTGGTGAAGGAAGGGTAATTTTGGTCACTGGTCCTTCAGTAATTCCATGACTGGCTTCAGTTTTTAAGAGTATAGCCCAGACAGTGCATCACAGGACACAAGAACCTCACAGCCACAGCAGCTTTCCTGAAATCCTTGTGTGTTAATACATGAGCAAACTGCTAGTCAAGAAATAATTGTAGTTGGTTTTGCTTAAGTAATGAAGTAATGCAGTTAACTAAGGAGTACAAACTTCACCTTCTTTCTGCTTGAGAGTTAGTTCTGCACAGTACATTTACACTTTCAAAATAGCCTTGGATCTCTGAACTTTGAGCTTTTGTTCATGTTGGAATTAATGCGTTTTGCTGTTTTTTGACTGGGTCTTTGTTAATTTTTCTTTTGGATAATTTTATTCCAGTTCTTAAAATGTTTGATGTATTATTTTTGTTTGTGTTAGTAGCTTTTTTTAACCTGTTGATTTCAGGTGATTGCAGCTCCTCTTTGAACATTCTGTCTTAGGAAAGAGAAGGCCGATTTCTGACGTTTGAGTTGGAAGGAAGGAAATTTTTAGGCATATGTGAATATATTAAAATACAAAATATTACCTTCCTAATTAAAAAAAGTAATTTAGTATATTCAGTGTCTTATTCAGTGACAAACAGTTTTGAAGTGTATTTTTTTAACTTAAAAGCCAGTTGTTTTCCATTATTTCTTATATGCAGGTGTTCTGCAAAAAAATGTAATTCAGTTCTCAGATTAAGCACTGTATGTAGTTTCTGTTTAAGAAAAAAGCCCTTGTAAGGATGTTCAAATTAGTTGGCTTTAGATAAAAATATCCTTCCCATGAGTTCCTACTGTTAAGTATGTTCAGTTAGAAAATACTAAATTCCTGTACAAATCAAGCCTCCCATCTCCATCCCAGAGTGACTGCTGGTTTTAGATAAGAAATCTCAAATAGTCAGGGGCGTTAGTTTACACAGTAGGAATCTTCCCAGTTCTTCTTACCTTGTTTAAAAAAAAAAACCAACAAAACAAATAAACAAGAACAAAAGAAGGGAAGAGAAGAAGGTAAATAATGTTTTTCAGTTATTTAAAACTTCTATAAATAGGACATGAATGCTTCATTTATTAGTTCGGTATTAGCTTTCCTTACTCAAGGTGTGATTATAGCAACATTTCTAATATACAATGAAATATGTAATCTTTCTCATGAACTTGCATTAATGTCTAATATTTTAAAAAATCTGCCTGTTGTGAAAAAAGGAAAGCAAGTGCTCTAAGTCTTAAGTAGCTTTTGTTAATTTCTGAGGTGTGACATTTACAGTACAGATTTGTGATGAAGGCCTATATAGGGGATGATTGAATGCCTGCCAATAAGTGCCTAATGACGTTTTAGCCATCTGGGGCGTGAAGAAGTACCTTCACAGGGCTGGTAGTTACTGTGTGGGACCTGGAGGCTTCCTTCTGGAGCAGCATCTACCGTTCAGGTGTGAAATCCTACTCTGTCTATGATGCCACTAGGCACCTATGTTTGGACACCCAAATTGTTCCCTGTGGTCTCCCAAGTTTTCCCCTGTGTCCTATTCTAGTTGTATTTCTCCCTTTAAACTTTTTGAAGGGGGATTGACGTTATCTCAT